CCTCGTATGTATTGCTCAACTTTGCCGATGTCTGCCGAGGGGGAAAATACAGCGCGATAGTTCCAATAGTTTCAGATCTTGTCTGAAAGCTGGCAGCAGCACACCGTCCCCCCAACAACGCTGGTGTAGGATATATCCGCTTCAATGTGGATATTGGAAACCTCGAGCTCTTGATAAGGAACGTGATACCACAAGATGCTGTGACATATGCACTTCGCCTATGCCCAAACTCTATCACCCAGGTGCGGTCGATCAGACGAGTCTCATTGATCTGCTATCCATACGACTTTGCTTGTGTGCCCACGAGCACGTAGATGTCTCTGTTCGGCAGCGCCTGCACAATGTCATTCAGCCGCTCCGTAGTCCTGGCAGCACACGGGTTGTAGCATACTGCTCTCAACAATCCACTTTCTCCGCCCATGAAGTTCGCGGGGCAGCGCCGCCGCCGTGCGGCTCTATTCACGAGAAGGGAACATCGGGCCCACTGCTCGTGTGATGTGTTGCTTGCGTAGATAGGCGGCTGGTGCGCTGCTGGGCGGCCTCGGGCCGCCTGGAGAAAGAGGAGGAGGAGGAGGCTGAAGAAGAAATGAATGGATGAGGAGAGGCAGTAGGAGGAGGAGGAGGAGGAGGAGGAGGAGGAGGAGGAGGACGAGGGAGGGGGCCCGAGACATGAGAAGGGAGGAGGAGAAGGAGAGATCATTGGGGAGGAGTGTATTCAGCCGCCATGTTTGCCTGTGGCTGACCTCCTGGATCCTTGAAGACCCTCGTCGCTACGGCTGTGCCTGTCACGAAGCCATCTTGAACAACGAGGATGAAGAATGAGGGGGACGAGAGAGGAGAAGGGAAGAGGCGAACGAAAGACAGTGGGGAGGAGTATTTCCAGCCGCCCTGGTTGCTTGTTTCTGGCCTTCTGGATCCTCGAGGACCCTCGTGGCTACGGTTAGGTCTGTCCCGGAGCCATCTCGAGATCCTGGTCAGCACGCCCTCAGGGAGACGGCCGCGGGCCGACTCCGTGAGGGGGGAGGGAGGAGAGACAGCAACAGCAGGAAGAGGGCGAGGACAGTGGGACGAGGGCGTGGAGAGAGGGGGTCAGCAGGAGGACGGGGGAAGGGGAGGGGAGAGCGAGGAAGGTTCCATGGGGAACGCGGGCGAGGGGGAAGGAGACGAAGAGCACAAGGCAAAAGGGAGGAGCACCTGGAGGAGCAGCACAAGGGGGGGGGGATCGCCCTCCCTCCGGGGTCTCGCGCAGATCCTGCCGTAGCACGCCGCAAGAGCCACGACACGACGGACGATCGATGATCCTTCTCCCATCGCGAGACCAGGCGCCCTCCAGGAGCTCCTCCTCCTCCTCCTCCTCCTCCTCCTCCTCCTCCTCCCACCCCTCCCCGTCCTCCTCCTCCTTCTCCTCCTCTGCGGTTCCCTCGGTGCGAGCTTCACCGGGGATGTGCGGCTGCTGTGCGCGCGAAGGAGTTATATAAGAATTGCAGATCGCGCAGCGATTGTGCTGTGCTGCGTTTTAAGGACTCGGGGGCGGACGGGACCCAAACCTTGACACGTCGATTCGTGAATCGTCCGTGTTCGGTTCTCGAGAGGGCGCCGCGGCCCTCATCTTCCAGGCTTGCGCCCGCCAGGTTTGGGCCCGAGGTCGTTTTCACTGAACCACGTTTTGCTAAATTGGGTTCTGTCCATCCCCGAAAGGAGCGTCATCAGGAGAGGGGTGCGGGAGGAGGGGGAAGGGGGGGAAGACGAATGTGTTCGCCTGTTGCCGCATGGTTGGTGCCACGTTTTCTTTTCTCTAGGGCAGGAGCGTGATCCTTCTGCGAGGCGTGCAAAACACATCAGGTACATAGTGCTTCGGGCCATGGCCCGTACCCATTAGTGTCGATTCGCGCGGCTCCGTTTTTCCCGTTCTACACTCGTGCCTTAGTTGATGTGAAGAGTCATGGTGATAGCTCCCCGCTCGTTGGGAAAACAACTGATGTTCAACGATGATGAATATGGATGCGGGACATGATGATGGTGATGCTGCTGCTGCTGATGATGATGATACTGATGATGATGATGATGCTGATGATGATGATGACGGTGGTGGTGGTGTTGATGATGTTGATGAGGATGAGGATGAGGATGGTTACGAGGCTACTAATGATGATGGTGTTGATGGTGCTGGTAATGATGATGATGATGATGATGATGATGTTGCTGGTCATGATGCTGATGATGCTGACGATGATGATGCTGGTGCTGGTGTTGATGTTGATGTCGTTGGTGGTGATGAGGATGATGAGCATGGCGATACTGATGATGATGATGGTGCTGGTGATGTCGATGGTGATGATGATGATGGTGATGATGATGATGATGGTGCTGATGATGATGGTGTTGATAATGATGGTGATGACGATGCTGATGAGGATGATGGTGTTGGCAGTGGCGTTGATGATGATTTCTAGGATGATGGCGATGATGATGCTGCTATTGCTGATGATGATAATGATGATGAGGTTGGTTATGATGGTGAGGATGAGGATGAGGGTGAGGATGAGGAGGATGAGATTGATGATGATGCTGCTAATTGTGATGAAGGCGAGTGTGATGACGACGATGACTTTACTCGTTGCCATAATGATCATGAGATGGCGATGTTGAGTCTGGAGTGACGCTCGGCAAGCCAGATGCGGCCCTGAAGTCGAACAATGCTGTGGTGAGCATAATGATGATGACGATGGAGGAGATGGGAGGAGGAGGAGGAAGAGGTATATAGACAAAGTCATGCCGTTGGGTTGCGACTCCTGGGAGGTTGAATCAAGTATCGCCTGTGGTATCTCCTGAGTTCTCATTGTATACATGAAGCCTGGCATGGCCTAATGCCGCCTCGCTCTCCTTGATCTGGCTTATTTGTCGGCTTAATGTTTGGCCGCATCTGGTCGAATCGAGTTTGATTCACCCTCCATCGGGCCCAGGAGTTCCCGACCAACTCTCCGAAGATAGCCTGTCATCCTGTCATCCATGATCAACGTTGACGGTCCCAGGGTCCGATCACGGCCCCTGGAAGCCGAAACGAAGGAAGGCAACCATCCGATGACGACTGCGACGACGACGGACGCGGACGATCGACGATGACGACGACGACGAAGACGACGACGAAGACGGACGCTGACGACGACAGGCGACGATCGACTACCGACGACTACCCACAGTCACGACGTTGGAATCTGGAGAAAGTTTGGGTCAAGAAGGCGCCCGCCGTTCCTCACGGGCTTCCGCGGCTGTTGCTCCAGCTCTCTTTGTGTACCCAGGCGCCCTCTGGGGCCGAAAGTGGCCCCTCATTCCCGTGTTCGGAGTGCCCTGCGGCACATGCTTGACTGTGCAGCCGACTACCTCAGACCCCCGACGTCGTCATTGTGTGTTCGCAACGTCGACCCCCAGACGATTGGACCCAGCCCACGGGGCCGGCTTTTCATCCGGAGTCGTTTGTTGACAGTCCCAGGGCCCAGCGAGGGACCCCGGAGCCCGCAATTTGAAGCATAACCCCCGCCGTGATCAAAAGTTTACGCCGCACCTCCGATCCCATGGGGGCCTTTGGGAGCCTGCGCGTGTTTTTCGGGGGCGTCCTGGGTCGTCTTCGGGCGCGTTTGGGCCGTCTGGTGCCTTCGGAGACTGTTCGGGGCGTTCCTGGGATCGCCTTGAGAACTTCTTGGGCGTCCTTGGAGCCCTCATAGGCCGTCTGGGTGCCCTCTTGGTGGTTCGCGTAGCCATCTTGGGGCTCTCTTAGGGGTGTTTCCATTGTGATCCTTCCACGACGCGAGGGAGTTTGTCAGGCGTTAGACCATGGGCCCATGGTCACCCGCAACTTTCCAGGTGTCGCGCCGAAGGTCGCAGGAAGCTGCCGAAGACCGTTGGAAACCGCCGAACACCGTCCGAAGACACCGCCGAAGAAACCGCCCGAAGATCCCGCCCGAAGACCGCCGAGGACGGCCCAGGAGCGACGTGTAACACGAGGGGTCCACGGTCGAACGTGTAAGAGTCTGGGATCCCTGAGCCCCAAGTGGACCTTCTCCCAGCATCTTGATTGCGCAGTCGAAGTCAAGTAGTGAGGAACCCTAAACATAAGGAGCGAGGCTCTTTTTCTTCTCCAGAAGTTGGACTTCGATCTCCCATCGAAGCAACCTGAGGACAACCTGAGACAAACTGCAAAACAACAGTCGAGGAACACAGCCCCTCCCTAACGAAAAGGGCCCCCTTCCCCAGACATGCGACGTCCGCGTGATCGTTTGTTTAATTCATTGTTTTGCCGATCGGCGCGGGCCCCCAAATCCCACCTCCCCTCCCTATGGAGTAGATCTTGGCTGTTTTTGGCGCCTGTTTCGAGCGGGTGGAGTCTCCCCCAGAGGCCGCATTCTTGCAAACAGTCGCACTGAGCAGAGGTCTGGAGCCAGACCCCCGTCCTCCCTCCCCTTGCCGCCCAATGTCGAAACGCCGAATTAAGAAACGCTCACCTGATTTTTTTCCGTGCGGGGTCCCTTTGGACGTCCCGACCCTCTCCCCGGGACCCGTTTGTCATCCCGAGCCGTTTTTCTGGCCGGCCCCGAGAAACCGGGCGAACACCCCCTCCCCCCCACGAGGCCGCACATGGCCCCAGACCTCCCGCCCAGATTTTTTTAATTACGACGACTCGATACTGTCCAGGGGGGGAATGGTAGGGAGGGGGAGGAGGAGGAGGAGGAGGAGGAGGAGGAGGAGGAGGAGGAGGAGGAGGGGAGATAGGGAGATAGGGAGATATGGGAATAGGGAGACTTAGGGACTGAAGAAGAAGATAGGGAGGTAGGAGGCGAGGGAGAAGGAGCGAGGAGGAGGGAGGCGGAGGAGGAGGAGGAGGAGGAGGAGGAGGAGGAGGAGGAGATTGAGAGGAGGAGAAGAAAGAGGAGGAGGACTACGCCCGACGGCGTCTTCCTGGGAGCGGCGGCGTCGACGGCGTCGACCGACGGGGCCCTGCCCCGCAGGAGCTCGTGGCGTGCCAGTGGCGCCTCGACGCCGCCGACGCCCAGCTGTCCGCCGTGGAGGCCCCCGGGCCCGAGGCCCGGGGCGCGGCGGCGGCGCCGCGGGCGGAGCAGGCCCCTCGGCTACGTCCCAAAGGCCGTGTAATTGGAGGGTTTCTCCGAAGGGCTCCAGCGACCTGTCCTCCTCCTCCTCCTCCTCCTCCTCCTCCTATCATGTTCCTATCCTCCCACGCTTATCTCCTCCTCTCGCGTTTTTCCTCCTCCTCCACTTCCTCCTCCATCTCCTGCTCCTCTCATCATGCTCCTCATCCTCTGCTCCTGTTCCTCCGCCCTGTACTCAATCAATACCTCCCGGACTACCCGTCCTCCTCCTCCCCCGTACCTCCCGTCCCTCCTCCGCCATAATCATCCTCACTCCGACACTCACTGCTCCATCCACTCCCCCCCAAACTCGTCTGACTCCAAGCAGTAATCATACTCACTCCTCCACTCCTCACCGCCTTACCTCGTCGTCTCCTCCTCCCTCAGACCTTGCGTCTGTATATCTCCCCCTATCCTACCTGCCTCCATGCTCTCATTTTCATCCTCCCCTCCTCCTCCTGCTCCTCCTCCTCCTGCTCCTCATCCATCCTCCGCCTCCTCCTCCTCCTCCTTCTGTGTCGCCTACGGCCCTGGAAACCGTGCAACGTGTAAGTCAGGAGCGTCTTTCCACAGGAGGAATGTTCAAACATATTACATGAATACTCTGGGGGTGATTTGTCGTGCTCTCTTGAATATTTTGGGTAGTTTTTGGCGTATATGTTGGGTCTTCCAGAACCGGAAGACGAGGAGGTGACCTTGGGACCCAGACATGATCGCGTCGCCAACAAAAATCAGGACGCGAGGCGTTGGGCCAATTTCGGCCTCGGGGGGCCCTCGCCGGGGCTCGGGGCCGCCGGAGAACGACTCGGAAGGACAAGCCGGTCCCGGGGCAAGGGTCGGGACTTCCAGGGGCCCCGCATTGACAGCATCAGGACGTCGCAGGTCTGGATCTTCTACGCAGTAATTCAGGGGCAACGACAGGGCCGGAGATGCACAGGGGGAGATGCCTCGACCCCAGCATGCCCTTTGATCGCCGACGAGGGCCCGATAGCCCCACCCCGCCCAGGAGCGTGAGGATTTGCTGTCAGCGGCCTCCCCCCCCATGTGCCAGTCCCCCTTTTCTCGATGCTCCTCAGCAACCCTAACGGCATCATGGCTCACTCATCGAACTGAAGCTATACGTGCAGCCCGGGAGGCTCCCATGAGTTGCCACCGACAGTTTGTCTTAGATCAGGTTTGGGTTTTGTTTTTTTTTTTTTTACTTTTAGTTTTTTTTTTTTTGCTTAGGATTTTTTTTCTCTGTGTTTTCTTTGATTTTTTTAGATTTTTCTTTTTTCCCTTAGTTCCTGTTTCTCTTTTTTTTTTCTTTTTTTTAGATTTTCTTTTTTTTCTTTTTTTTTTTTTCTAGATTTTTTTTTGTTTTTTTACATTTTTTTTTTTTTTTCTTTATTTTTTTTTTTTATTTTTTTTTCTTGTTCTTTTGTTTTTTGTAGATCAGGTTTGGGCAAGTTTCCTTGCGTGGAGGGGGGGGGGGTCCTAAGGTACGAGTTCCTCTCAATCCTCTCGTTTGTTTTTCGATTTCGGCCTCCAGGGTCCGTCATCGGTTCCAGGGGGGGATCAGAGACGGATCCAGAACGAACAAACATGTCCCCAGGGACGTGGTCGGGAGCTGCGGGGTTGCGTATTGAACAGCATCATATCAGGGGATGTCAGGGTCCGCCGTTAGGAAAACGGGTCCTAGGAGCTTGTCTTCGGTAGATGCAGGTTCTGGCAAGCTCGCTGGCATAGAGGGGGAGGAGGCTCCCCAGCTAGCGCCCGAGGGGAAAGCTGGAGATCACGCAGAGCTGGAAGTTATTTGCACGCTTCTCTGGCCCAGCACCGGACGACAAGGCGGCGAGGGAGGGGACGGGACGGGGGGCGGGGGTAGGAGGGGTGGGAGGTGGGGAGGGAGGGGGGGGAGGCGGGCGGGAGGGGGGGGGAGGGGGGGGAGGGGGGAGGGGGAGGAGGGGGGGGGGTGGGGGGAGGGGGGGGGAGGGTGGGGAGGGGGGGGGAGGGGGGGGGGGAGGGGGGGAAGGTGGGGGAGGGGGGAGGAGGGGGCAGGGGGGGGATGGGGAGGGGGGCAAATTGCACTGCAAATAAGTTGCCTCGAATCTGTAGGTTGCTGCATTGTTCTTAGGCCCATAGATAGGCCCGTCATGGCCCCCAGGACTGTCAAAAAACGGCTCAGGACGAGAAGCGGGTCCTGGGGGACGCCTCCTGGGTCCAGGACCCTTCTCTCGGGGGCGTCCCAAGGGAGGGGTGATGACCGAGGCGGGGTTGGGACAGCAAGGCTGGGGCCAGCACAGCTGCCCGGACTTCACAGCCGCCTCCTCTTCTACGTCCCCAGATTTTCGACGTCCGGTGTTTGTTCGATACGGGGTCCTTGGAAGTCCCGACCCTTCCCCCGGGACCAGTTTCTCATCCTGAGCCGTTTTTTGAGGGTCCCGAGGCCCGGCGAGGGCCCCCCGACGTTGAAATTGGCCAAACATTTCCCGCCCCGATTGCTTTGCGACTCGATCATGTTTGGGTCTCTTTTGGTCCCCCCCTCGTCCGCGCGCATGCCTGGGGCCATGCTTGGCAGGGCCCCGTCTTGGGCGCTCCCGCGTGGAGGCCCCAGAGGGGCCCGTGTTCTCTTCAGGGCCCGCCTGCCTCGGAGGACCTGGCCCCGGCGGTGCCGCCGCAGGAGGAGCAGGCTCCCTGCGGCGGCGCCGCGTCGCTGCCGGTCGTCGCCAGTCGTCGCCAGCCGCTCCTACAGTCGGGCTCTCAGCCACGCGCAGGGGGGTGTGGGGGGAGGGGGGAGGGGGGAGGGCTCCTTAGAAGCACCCGTGCTTCTTAGAAGGCGCGGCCCTTATCTATAGATGAAGGCCAGCGCCTTCTCAGAAGCAGCCTCCTTCTAAGAAGCCCTCCCCCCTCACCCCGCCCCCTTGTGCGCGCCGCCAAGCCTCCCAGATCAGGTCGGAGGAGATGGGGTCGGAGGACCGCGCCGCATCGCCGATGCATCGGCGATGCGTCGGCGATGCGGCTCGATGTGGGGCCCGATTTCCTCCACGTCGACGTCGCCGATACATCGCCGACGTCGGCGCTGCATGGCCGATGCATCGCCGATGCGTCCTCGATGCGGCGCGATCCTCCGACCCCATCTACTCGGACCCCACCTCGAGGGTCTCTAATATCCTGGTCGTCACCAGTCGCCGCCAGCCGCTCCTACAGTTGGGCCGCTGAAGAAGGAACCCTCTTCGCTTCTAGGCCTCCCAGATCAGGTCGGAGGAGATGGGGTCGGAGAGTCGCGCCGCATCGCCGATGCATCGATGATGCGTCGGCGATGCGGCTCGATGTGGGGCCCAATTTTCTCCACGACGACGTCGCCGATGCATCGCCGACGTCGACGATGCATCGACGGTGCATCGCCGATGCGTCGGCGATGCGGCGCGATCCTCCGACACCATCTACTCGGACCCCATCTAAGGAGGCCTCTGTTGCGGCGGCATCTCGTGGTCGTCGCCGCTCATCGCCAACCGCTCCGAAGGAACCCTTTTCGTTGGGGAGGGGCTTTGACTGACGGGCTGACAAACCATACACCGAGCCGTGCGTGGGCATGAACGCTGGCATAGAGAGGAGCCCAGGCCTAGGCTACACGCATGGACACTGCCATCGGCTCCCGTTCAGAGGCTGTGCTTGTGCGCTCTGGGGCCATGGGCACCACAAGCGGGAACGGCGCGCAGGCGGGTCACACTGGGACGACCAAGAGGAGGAAGGGGGAGGGGCTCAGCGCTCCTTAATTGTTGTACAGTTTGTCTCAGGTTGCCCCCGGGTCTTCTATGGGGAACCGATAGCAAACTCATGGAAGACAGGGGCCTCGCTCCTTACTCCAGGGTCCCTGACGACAGCGCTTCGACTGCACGTCGTTCCAGATCAAGGGAGGCCACCCGTGGCCGGAGCTCGCCACGGGCAGAAGGGCGCCCTGGTTCGAGCAGTGGCGAGGCGTCCTGGCTCGCCGATGGGCCCACCAAAGAGTGTGCTGAGAACCTTTTGTGGTCTGCACGCAGTGATCTTGGGACGCGAAAGGTTGAGTTACCCCCCCTTTGGTGGGATCCCAGGCCTTCAATAAGGTCGCCGAAGAATTGGTTACCCCCCGCTGTTCCAGAGACTGATGGCGGTTAGCACAATGAGTGTAACGTTTTTGGAGGTCGAGCCTCTAGTTTAGAGGCACCAAACTTCCAGAATGTAACCATGGCTTTGGAATGGAGGTCGAAGCTCCACTTCGAATGTGTTTGATCCTCTCTTGTTGTCTCGGTCGTCCGTGGAGCGTCGTCCGTCGTCCGCATACGTCGTCGTCGAGGTCCAAGGAGAGTTGTTCGCCGACCTCGACGTCAAGGGGCCCGTTTCGGGGTCGCCGTCGTCCGTCGGCAATCGATCCACGGGTCAAGGATCGAAGCTCGAGTCGTCCGTCTCTCTGTGCTGTTGCTCGCTCTTGGACTCCAGGGGCGCCCTCGTGGCCAAGGATGGACCCGCCTCGAAGCTCAAGCCAGAATGCGGCCCCAGACATGTCGAGGGGGTCGTCGTCGTCGTCGTCGCCGTCTCGTAGGTTTACGTTGTTGTCGTCGTCGTCGTCGTCGTGCGGAAGGCACGAGAAGGAAGGCCTGGATGCGGAGGCGGAGGGGAAGGGCAGAAGCAGGAGGAAGGCTCGGAGGAGGAGTGTGAGAGAGAGAGAGCGAGCGATGGAGGGAGAGGGAGAGAGGGAGAGGGAGAGACAGAAAGCAGGGCTTGCACTTGTTGTGAAACATCTGTAGTTTGATCCAGGGAACCGCCCAGATATATTGGATGATGAAGTCGAATGCTTTCATAGCCATCGCACGGGCTAATGATCCTGTGAGGCACCCCAAGAGCGGGGTGCACTACTGGTTCGGTGGGGGGCAGAGGCGGAGCCGTTGGAGAGATATGTGACATCGCGTCTCGATCATCGTTTTGATACGGATTTGTTCGTGGATTCTGTCATGATGGAGTTGTGGCGCAGTGGGATACGCAAAACATTCAAGCTTAAAGCGGTCGGGAACTTTGGCTCAGCGAGTCGCGTCGCCGGTTCTGGCCCACCACGCCTCGGCGCGACACGCTAACCGCGTCCAAGGCACCGAGCGTCAACGTCCCGAGCTTCTCCCCGCCCCCCGCCCCCCTGGAGCGGAGCGACACGCCATCCGTTTGCAGGGCACAGCGTCTGGCTGGGGCCGCTGCCGCGACACGGTAAACACGAGGTCCTGACGATATTGTTGGTTTGGGGGTTCCAAGTCGCGCGGGCATGGGGGGACATGAAGATGCTTTGAAGGCGAATGCTTGGATATGCGCTCCCAGGTGGGTTGTGGATTTGGACGTATCGCCGGCATGCAGCCCAGATACACCCCGCGCAACGCGCAGGGGACGCAAGTTTGTGGCAATTCGCCTGCTTTCACATGCTCGGTGTCCTATCGGACGGTCTGCTTGGTGATACAAACTAGGTCAACGCCGTTGCGGTGAAAACAGGTGTACACATGTACATGTATGTATGCTGAGGGCAAGAGAATGAGAGAGAGGGGGAGGGAGAGAAAGAGGAAGAGAAAGAGAGAGAGAGAGAGAGAAAGAGAGAGAAGAAGAGAGTGTGAGAGAGAGAGAGAGAGAGACGGAAGAGACAGAGAAATAGAGAGAGAGAGGAAGAGAGAGAGAGGGAGGGAGAGAGAGAAATAAAGACAGCGAGAGAGAGAGAGAGAAGCAACACAAAACACACAGGGGAGGACAACTCGGAGGACGAGAGGGGGGGGAGCGGAGGATGAGGGAGGAGGAGGGTGGCTTGGGAGGGGGCGGCGAGGACAAGGGGGAGGGGGGGGGGAGAGACTGCGAGACGGAGGGGGGGGAGGAAGAAGAGGAGGATCGCTGACGGTGAGGGCCCCAGGGCCTGTGGGTCAGGCCGAGGCGTTGGGCGCGGTCATGGCCGAGCTGCGGCGCCAGCGGGCTGCGGCGCGAGAGGCGCCTTCCAGGAGGAGGAGGAGGAGGAGGAGGAGGCGGATGAGGGGAGGAGGAGGAGGAAGGAGGAGACGGAGGAGGGGAGAGAGGAGGAGGAGGAGGAGGAGGAGGAGGAGGAGGGAGGAGGAGGAGGAGGAGGTAGGAGGAGGAGGAGGAGGAGGAGGAGGAGGAGGAGGAGGAGGAGGATGAGGAGGATGAGGAGGAGGAGGAGGAGGAGGAGGAGGAGGAGGAGGAGAGAGGAGGAGGAGGGGAGGAGGAGGAGGAGGAGGAGGAGGCGGCGGAGGAGGAGGAGGAGGAGGAGGAGGAGGAGGAGAGAGGAGGAGGAGGAGGGAGGAGGAGGAGGAGGAGGAGGAGGAGGAGGAGGAGGAGGAGGAGGAGGAGGACAAGGAGGAGGAGGAGGAGGAGGAGGTGGAGGAGCAGGAGGAAGAGGAGGAGGAGGAGCGGAGGAGGAGGAGGAGAAGCAGGGAGGAGGAGGAGGAGGAGGAAGAGGAGGATAACCATCACAGGCTCTGGGGGGAAGGTTAGGGTTAGTCGACCCGACCTAACCGAAACCTTGGGTTGCAGCCGCTCTCCACTGACGCGCTTATTCTGCCTGTCTCTCCGCCCCTTCCTTGAGGAGCTGGGCAGCAGGGATAGGCTGGGAAAGACGGGGGCGGGCCGATAACCTGCTCTTGGAGTGACGGTCGCCAGTCGGAAGGGACCGCGCATCGTGGGAGGACTTATTTGGGAAGCTCCCCTTGCACTCGCCTTTGAGATCCTTAAGGTTGTTCTCCGAGTAGCGACAACAACGCTTGTACACGACACGGAAAGACTCGAAATCAAGGTAGTCACATATCATAAGGTGATGTTTCATGGGGTCGCGGATTAAATTCGAAAGGTTCACAGAGTTGTTTGGGCATGTTTCTAGTATACGGGACTTACGGGTGCTGTCGGTTCGAGCACAGGTGTGGCAGACCAGGCACAGCCAAGGACAGTTTAGCCACCCCCATTGATGACGGTCAGCCCCCCTGCGGGTTACGGCACGCAAGAGCACGCCGAGGATGACCGCACCAGCAACACCAACAGGGGGATTGAGGCTCTTTCAGGGCTTCTCGAAGGCCTTCTTGCTCCAGCGTTAGGCGTTCAACAGTTCACACATTACAGTAGGAACCCATGCCAAGAAGCACTCTGCTTGCCTCCAGGGTGCCCTGGGATCCTTGGGTTTCGATAGTTTTGCGATGGAAAGCGCGACGTGCCCATACCGAAAGACAATGAACGTCCTGGGATCTCAGGGTTGGTTTTCTTGTGAAAAGTTTCTCGTGGGCTGGCCTCCTCTGCACATGAGTGTACACACTCAAAGCTCACATGAAGGGCAGGAGAAGGTGGAGGTTGAGGTAGGGGGTCGTGGAGGGGGCAGGATCGGGAGAGAGGAGCAGGACGACTGAGGAGGAGGAGGAGGCAAGTTCGCCTGGTCCGGCGAGTCTGGCGGGCCCGGCCCATTTCCACCATCCCTCCATGTCATGATCCGCCTTGTCCTCTGCATGGACAGATCGCCCATTGGACCCTCATGAGCCGACCGACCAATGAGGAGGAGGTGGAGGAGGAGGAGGAGGAGGAGGAGAAGGAGGATTTATTGTTCGGCCCCTGGGGTGGAGGCAGCACCCACCAGGACCTCATGCCACCAGGGACCAGGATGATGAGGAGGAGAGGGGGAGAGGAGGAGGAAAGAGGAGGGGAGGAGGAGAGGAGGGCGAGGAGGTCGGACGAGGAGAGAAAGAAGTGGAGGAGGAGCAGGAGGATCCAATTATCGAGGAGGAGAAGGGGAGTCAGGAGGAGGAGGGAAGAGGACGAGGACAAGGATGAGGGGAAGAGGAGGAGGAGGAAGAAGGAGGGGAAGAGGAGAGAGGAGGAGGAGGAGGAGAGGAAGGAGGGGAGAAGATGGGAGGAGGGAGGAGGAGGGAAGGAGAGGAGGAGGAGGAGGGGAGCAGGCGCTCGAGGAGCGCGCCTCCTCCTACTCGCTCGGCGTGCCCTCGGGCCACGGGCGGCACAGCAAGCGCTTCGCGCGCGGCCCGGCGGAGCGCGAGGAGGCCCTGGAGCGCTACCGGCAGGTCGCTGCGGGGGGGCCGTCGGGGCTCGGCTGAAGTCGGACCTGTCCCTCTACAGGAGGAATAGTCGACTACAGTCAAAAACCCTAATAAGGACGCGCGACTTTGCTCAGGGTGCCCTTGCGTACTTGCTCTTTCTTGCTCTTGCGTCCTTGAGGTTTTCGTCGCCAAAATCCCAACTTCGGCTTCCAAGGGTCTTGCGTCCTTGCCGCGCGTCCTTATTAGGTTTTTTGATTGTACACCTAAGAGTGACCTTTCGCCGGAGTGACCACTGGTGCGGGCCCATCGGGGTTCCCCCGATCGCCGAACGCGATGCGATAGTAGCGTCCTGCGCGCTTATGTTTGGCCCCCCCGCGGTCCCCCCAATGAGCCGTGCACCAAAGGTCACCCCTTACCCAGGGTCACTCTTACGTGTAGCCGAAATATTCGAGAATAGTAAAAAATAGTCGGGGGACGATTTTCTGAGCATCTTTTGGCCATTTTGGGGCACGTCTCACTATCTTCTACATCTCTCGTCTAACATCCGCCCGTAGGGGGACGGGCCCGACCTAAGGCTCGACTCGCCCTGCGGGCAACGGGTCCTGAGGGAAACGGGCCCTGACGTTTCTGAAAAACGAGGACCCGTTCTTGAAACACGTCAGGACCCGTTTTGGAAAAACGTTGGGAGGGCCCACGGCGAAAATTTCGCCGTGGGCCCTCCACGGGTCGCGCGGCGGACAGAAAAAAGACCCGCGATGAAGGGTTCGTCCTGGGGGAAGGCCCCCAGGAGGAGGAGGAGGAGGAGGAGGAGGGGGAGGAGGAGGAGGAGGAGGAGGAGGGGAGGAAGAGGCGGAGGGAGGAAGAGGAAGGAGGAGGAGAAAAGGAAGGAGGAGGAGAGGGAGGAGGAGGAGGAGGACCCAGATGCTCCAAGATCCAAAAAGATGGGGCTCGTTGCATGGAGGTCTCAAAGATGGGGCCCAGCCGGAGATGATCTCAAGATGGGGCTCAGCAGGCGCCCTTGGAGATGGGGTGCAGAAATCGAAGATGGGTCGCGGCTGGCTTCGAAAAATGGGTCGCGGTTGAAGCAGAGATGGGGCGCAGATGTTTCGCGAGGGTGGTCTGAAGTCGTTCAAACTTCAGACGCGTGCGTCTGAAGTTTTGGTGCGTATGACGTCGTGTGTCTGAAGTGTTGGTGCGTTTCACGTCTGGTTTGCTGCTTCATTCCTCCCCCAGCTCTTCCTTATCATCCTTATTCCTTGTTTTTTGACGTCGGGAAGAACTCATGATTCATCATATCCCTTCTCTTCGTCATCATCCTTCTTCTTCTTCTTCAAGCCCCTGGGGCCAGGGACATTTCAGGGAACGTGAAGAACCCGCAGGGCGGAGGGCGCGGGCCAGGATCTAACAAGATCCCCGTGGATCCGCGAGGCCAACATCCAAGAGGGACATATGGAAGGAAAGAGGGCGAGAGGGAAAGGGCAGACAACGAGCGACAAGGAGGGGGAGAGGGGGAGACGGAGGAGAGGGCGGAACAAAGCGGATGGATGAGGAGGAGGAGGAGGAGGAGGAGGAGGAGGATAAGGAGGAAGTGGCGGCGGCGGCATTGGGGGGAGGAGGAGAGGAGGACGCGTTTGCGTCTCCCGCCGCTGCGATGCGCCGACTGCGCACATCCTCGGCGCACATCCTCGGCGCTGTCCTGACGCGCCGAGAAAACACGTCACTCGGCGCAAGCTCGCGTTAGGTCGAAGGCCGCCTTGCCCCGAAACGGGGCAACCAGGCCGTCAGGCATCGTTGCTCATTCGTTGTTTGTGTTTGGGGGTGGGATGGGGGGGGGTGCCCCAAAAGGGGGCAGCTGTGGAGTGGGTGAGGGAGGGGGGCAATGGGCTCGGAGCATTACTAGTTTGGCGGAAGAACGAAGTTTTGCTTTTCTAATAACCGATTCTCCAGCGCTCGCATAATTTCTTCGATAGTTCTAGCAAGGACGACCCCATCATAACACAACTCGCCACCTTACCTATATGGCGCATGAAATCCTCAGCTTGGTAACGCCACAACATTCTACAATTGATGAAGCGAGTGCCCTGGGCAATGTGCCAGAAGTGGTGAAACTTATTTACAATTGACCATTTGAAGACATTATTGGCTTTGGCCTCCGACGCCAAAGCACTGTAAAACACGAGCGTGCGCTCAGCGGCTGAAATACAATCTTGGTACTCCCGTTCCGAGAGGTACATCCCCGCCGATTCCGTGATCATATAGAACGTGTTTAAATTTGCGACGCATGCGCTTCGCATTGAACGCATTGTCGTGTTGTCGTCGTACGTTGCCGCCAACTGCGCTGCAACTGGAATCAATGCTCGCTGGGCGGCGGCCTTGGTTTTTGTAGTCATAACTGGATAATCTGAATGCGGGCTCTTTGTGTCCAAAAAATAATTCAACGCAAACTTTCCGCGCCCCTGTCCTACTTCCAGGGGACCAGGCCCTAAGACGCAAACCCTTTGTCGTGAAGTTACACATCGCCCAGCCCAAACGCCTACCCCGACCCCCTCGCCGCCGCCGCCACCAACGCCTGCTCCTCCATGGACGAAAAACTACAAAACTATGGATGCGGCACTCCAAAAAAAACAGCAATCCAAACGATCCCAAATCAAACTGAACGGGCTCTGCGGAAGAGCGCCAGCTATTGAATGACAACTTATGGCCAGTGCTCCCTATGTCAACGTACACTTGCTTGATTTCTCTCCACAGCCTGCCAACAGCATCCGTCGCTCTACCCCCAATCTGCTCGTACACAATTTCGTAAAATGTGTTGCCCAAAATGTGCGATGTTACGCCTGAGTCGATTGTACGCATTGCGTCGGCTGCCATTGCGGCTGGACGCACGCCCCACACTTGGAACAGAGGGTGCGTAAAAACGTATTCTGTAGTACGCGGTCGGGTCATCCAGGGTGAACGGTCCTAAGAAACAATTTTCGAGAAGACGCCCGCGAAGCCCATCCCCCCCCTCCCCACATAAAAAAAAACAAACATCAGGGAATGGGTCGGGATGCCATGGGTTTTTTTTGTGTGTTGAGGCGTTGGTGGGGAGGGGTTCGGGGAAAGGCGACCGACGTTTCTCGTTCCTTGGTCCTTGTTGAAATCGTTCCATGGGTTGTCACTTCTGTTTCCGTCACACACCCAGCACATGGAGACAGCATTGCTGGCAGGTGCCCCCAGATGATTTGAGTGGAACTCCAAGTCACCCTGGATCGCGTACACAAACGCTCGATATGGCGCATCACCGTCGCACAGAAACTCGCCTGCACACTCTGCAAAGCGGGAAGTCGGATCGAATTGTTCGTCGTTCCAGCACGCCGCCCGCGCTGCGCAGGCCCAGGCCATGAGTGGTGCTGCTATTTGTCGGGGGACCCACGTCCGATACAACAACTGACATGGCCCAGGAAACCAGCTGTTCACCCCCAAGCATCGCCCGAACCAAACATGTTTAAACCGAATGGGGGGTGCTCGGGATTGGCGAGAACCCATTGCATCTCTGGTCGGGTGGCGGCCCTGAGCGAGGGCGTTTAAACTCCAACAAATAACTCGCCAAATGTCCAGCCACGTGTCCTTCCCCCCGTGCTTCTTGGCCTTGGCGGTTGCGCAATATGGCCACGCAGCTACGAGCAGCACCAGCTCTCTAGTCGAACCCCGCGCCAACAAACCAGTTACCGAGATCGTCATCATCGACTCGTTCGTTAATATCTCTCCTCCGTCGCCGTGTATACGTAACGGTATTGCATGCTTCTCGTGCTTGGGAATTTTCCAAACTGGGTGCCTATGAAGACGCGGGTCTGACCTGCGCGGGACCGAAATTGCCCCGTGAAAACCAAACGAATTCCAGAGCTCTGGGGCCACAAAAACAACATAACGCTGGAGCTTGCCACGCGTTCACCTACCATTGAGACCATGCGGGGCACACTTCTGGCAAACGCGATGCAAACGTTTGGCAAACTTTGTTCAAACTTCTGGGAAACCCCTGCCAAACTTCTGGTAAACTTCTGGATGTCGCCTGGCAACATTCAGGCAAACTTCTGGCAAACTTCTGACAAACTTCTGATACCGTCTGGAAACTTCTGGCAAACTTCTGACAAACTTCTGGCAAACTTCTGACAAACTTCTGGCAGACTTCTGCGTGGCAAACTTCTGGCAACGTCTGGCAATCGCCTGACAATTGTCTGGCAAACTTCTGACAGACTTCTGGCAAACGCCAGGCAAACTTCTGACAAACTTCTGAAAGGCTTCCTGTAAACTTCTGGCAAAGTTCTGATAAACCGAAGGTAACCCTGGCCCCTCTCTGGAATTCGTCTGGACATTCTCTGGGACGCGTGGCTGGGACAGGCGAGAAATTACGTTCGGCATGCCAAACCTGCTCGCGCCTGCCCAAAATTCTGGCAGCCGATCAACTCCGAACGTTTCTTGAAATTCAAGCCTATGCGAATGGAAGAGGCTGCTGAATATCTCATGCGGGAGTAGACAGTGACAATTGTGTTGTATCAGCTTCAGCGTGCTTGGCTCAATGCAGTTCACGGGAAACACAGCTGGCGGTGGCAACGATATGTCCTTTAAGAACTTACGCGTGAGGTCTCGGTGGATGTTTTGCTCATGCTCGCCCCAAGACCCCATGGCTGCGATTTCCGAAATTTCCTGGACATCCTGCATCCCATCGCGGTACGCCGCCAAACAATATCTATGCACTTCGGTGCCGTAGAGCCGGCCCCATGCCCAATCTCTCAGCAGCAGCGTGGAGAGAGAAGAAACAACTTTGCGCTCGTGCAATTGATGGCCAATGTCTGACTCAGCATCGCCGCCAGAGCTCGACTCGGAAGCAGAAAACTCAGGGTGCTTCTCGGGAGGCTCGAGGCGGCGCTTTGCACCTCGCCGCCCCATGCTTGGGCCAGCAATGGCTTCAACTGCAGATATGGGCCGAGTGGGGCCCCCTGGGCCCGAACACCACGTCGCGCCCCGATATTGTGACATTGTGGAAT